CAAGCCTTGAATTTCTTCATCAAATTTGATGCCATAGCAGATAATTGGTTCATAATCCCCTGAAAATTATTCAGATGGTCTGTCATCGGAGAACCATCATGATACTTCAAACTCAACATCTTCTTTATTAAGAACATTTTGTTGTTGCCAGTCTTTCGAGCATACAAACTTTCAAGATGCCCCCAAAGGGTTCGAGCATGTGTTTCTCCAGAGATATGGTTCAAAACATTATCGTCGACCCATTGCCTAATGAATCCACAAACCTGTCTATGCAACAGACTCCACTCTTCATCTGTCATATTATCAGGCTTTACAGTGGTAAATACTGGTTTATAAAAATTCTTAACATAAAGCAGATCTTCCATTTTCCCCTTCCAAATGACATAATTAACACCATTCAAAGTAACCATTCTACTTGTGTTGGCTTCCATTGTTTTCCCCAAAAAATATAGTTATCGCAAATCAATGTAAATCTTTTTTGATGTGGAAGTTCAGACTGTGCTGCAACCACAGAGCATACTCAGATAAAACCTTGGCTCTGATACCAGTTGGTTGGGAAAAAGCGGACAGGCACAAAAGTATATATGGTAAAAGTAATGGAAATAAAATGAAAAAATAACGACACCAAGAATTTTACATGGAAACCCTTCTGAATAAGGGAAAAAACCACGGGCCAAGAGGAGCAACTGATATTACTATAGTAAGGAATTTTACACTGTGTAGTCACGAATACAACACTCAAAGTGACTACTACACACTCAAAAGGAACAACACTCTTTTGGTTTCCGTCTTACTAAAATATCGCTCACACTCTATTTTCTTCATAGACTATTTTCTTATATAGTCTATGGAATACCTCACTTTGCTCTCAAAATAGTTTTCTCTCTAACTTGGTGTGTTCTACAAATGAGCAAGAATGCTCTATTTATAGAAGGATAAAACCATACCTATGTCACTAATGACATATGTAAACATAGCAAAGTCAAAAATGGTTGCAAATCTTACCAATTTGCCAACTACCAAATCTTTTCTTTTCAACTCCAATTACTATTCATTTTTAACAATTGCTTGTACCAATTGAATAGCTAAAGTTGACTAAAACAATGGGATAGATTCAACAACTTTGAGGTGCTAGATGTGCATTCTCAAAATTGGAATGTTTAGTTGTCAGTTGAGGCAAAGTTAACGTGTCTATCTTAATTATATCTTTTAACATTTGTAGCCATAGGACGTGATATCCTTGTGTTTCTATCTCGAATATGTGAATGTAACCTCAAAATTGAATTCTGTGGATTTGCAACTCTATTGTTTGCTAATATACAGGCCACTTGAAAAATGGAACTCAGGTTCTTTGACAAGGATGCTATGGAATCTGAATCTGATAAAGTCGATGGATCAGTGAATTTCGTGAAGGCTCTGCACAATGACTCAAGTTGAGGAGGTGAAGCCCATCATCCGTTTGTTTGTTTTTGGAAACCAGAGTGGAACTATCTATCCCCTGTTAAGAAGGCTAATCTTCACGCTCTTCAAGGAGTGCACCATCTTAGATTAGAGGACGTAGACGTAAAGGATTCAAAATCAATGAAGAGTGTACCCTCAGATGCAAAAACAATAGGGGAAGTGATGATTAGAGGAAACACAGTAATGAATGGTTACTTCAAGGATGTAAAAGCAACAAAAAGTTCTTATAAAGGGGGCTGGTTTCGTAGCGGGGATTTATTAGTGAGACATCAAGGTGGTTGTATAGAAGTAAAGGATCGTTCAATTGACACCACTATCTCCGGTTTAGAAAGCATTAGCTCAATCGAAGTGGAGTCTGTTATCTTTAGCCATCCATCTGTTTTCTAAGCTGCTGTAGTGGGAAAACTAGACGATCACTGGGGTGAAACATCTTGTGCATTTGTTAAACTGAAGAATGGATGCAATGCCAATACTGATGAGATCATCAAGTATTGTCGCGATCGTTTGCCTCAATACATTGCTCCTAGGACAATTATTTTTGTCGTGTCAACTGTCAGATGAGCACCATGTTTGTTAACCAAGGCAACGTAATGGACCTCACTTCAGGATTCCATCAGCGTGTCTATCCCTATTTGACACATTGAGTACGAATTCTGATGGAGAAACTAGGTTGTCTTTTCTTCAACTCATCAATTTGTTCTTAGGCTTAGCTTCTGAGGGAGAGAATGAAGAAAATTTGGGAGAATGGGTAGATGGGAATAGAAGATTTGAGAGAATGGGTCGGGTTATTTTAAATGGGGTTGAGTTATTGGATTAAAATAAGAAATAGTTTTTTTTAAAAAAATTCGGGTCAATTTGGGTCAATCCGCCTAATGGAGGTAAATTTGGTGAAATTAGTAACGAAAAGGGTAAAATTGACTTTTTTTTAAATGTTGAGAGTAAATTTAAACAATAAATCAAAGTTAGAGGTATTTTTGACCCTTCAATTTCACTTTCTTTTTTAAATATCAAATCAAATTTGTTGATATATTTTTATTCTTTTATGTTGTGAGTTCTTTAAAATTCAATTTTTTTTTAGTGATTCTCAAAGAAAATAATTTCAAATCGCATTAATGTGGAGTTTCGTCGAAATTGTTTTTGATGCGATTTGATTCTTATTTTTGATGAATATGGAAAAAGGGTGAGTCGAGGGATGGTGACAAAGGAATTTTGCGATGAGGGTTCTAGTTGTGATATTGAATTGAGAAGTCCAATTGAGAAAAATGAATTGCGGAAGACAACTGCTAAGTACTTTTACAAAAAAAATTATGTTCAAATTATGATTTTTCTAACTTCAGGCTCATTCTTAGATGTGTATATACTTATGATGTTATCTTATTTAAAAGTATTTAATAGATACGTTTTGAATGATAATAGGTATAGCTTGTTGAGAAAGATAAGTACAAAATAGATATGCACGATATAGGTGATAGCGGAAGAAATTTAAGTCAAAATTCTCCCTTATATTTGAATCAAGAGAAGACAAAATAACACAAGAATGAAATAGTTTGGGTAATAAACTAATCAACCAAGGAAGAAAATCAATACAAGAAACACCAAATTTTAACGTGAAAAACCTCTTTGATGTGAAGAGTAAAACTCACAGACCAAAGCTCTACTATAATAAAAAAGAATTACAAAAGTGTCCTTCAAAATGGTCATCAACAAAGTGTCAAACAATGAGCAATACAACTACAAGATAGCACCAAAAACTAGAGAAACAAAAAAGAGTTAAAATAGCCAAATCCCAGCTACTGTTTGACAAGCTAAAATCTGGGCTACAAGACTCCAAAACACCCTCTCTCAGTTTCCAATCAAAGATTAAGTTGAAAGGAACACGCTATCCAAAAATCAGCTCAATCAGACAAAAAACGAAGCGGAAATCGCGATTCGAAAATGTTTGATATGACTTGTGCGAAAATCTGTATTTCCTCACTTTTCAGTCTATATGACTCATCTCAAACTCTTATAATTCTTCAAATAAGACCTAAAAGAAAGTCTTATATATGCACCATAATATTGAGCTTATGGAAAAAAGTAGACTAGTTAAATTTGGGCTAATTTTATCCACAAAGAAAAGAATGAGAAATTTAAAACCTTAAATTTTTATTCGTTCACATAAAAAAAAAAAGGAAAAAGGACCAAAACCTAACACAACTCTTAATTAAAATGTCTTAAATAAATTATGCGAATCCATTTTAAGAAACAACAGAACATTATTCCTTTTTTGTTTATGTGTGATGTGTTAAATCTCTGTGTGATGTTTCAAATTAAGACATACAATTGCTAAGCTACCGAGGAGAGAGAATTTTTTTCAGACCATTAAGACATTGTGGTTGTTGAGCTAAGAGACACGAGCTAGCTAGTGAGCTATAGGCCAGGAGGGTTATACGTTATTGTCTCCATTTTAATTTATATAATTAAGTTTAATTTAATAAGGAGTTTAAGAGAGAAAGAAAGAAAGAAAATTTTGAAAAATTTATAATTTAAAATAAGTCAGATATTTTTATGACTTTATATTATTTAAAATAAAAGGTAAACTGAACATTTTAAAATTTAATTACAAACAGTTGGTATGTATGCATTTTATTATTACAATAAAATATTAAGTGTATATGTTAGTGAGTATAAATTGTGATAGTAGATGACTATTGATTGTTGTTACTTATATAACCATTATTTCTTGTAACTCTCATGATCATTACTGTCTTGTAACTAATATGACCATTAGTTCTTGTAACTCTCATGATCATTAGTTTCTTGCAACTCATATGACCATTAGTTTCTTCTAACTCAGTAACATCTACCCACATTACTATCCTCATTCTACTTATTGATTATATGGAAGGTTTTTTCACCAATGAATACTGGTGCTTCTTCCTTTATGAAGTATCCCAAGTAGGAAGTGAAATACAGAGTGAAAAAGAGTATTAGTATTAGATTGTGTATATTGAGTTACTATAGTGAAAGAGAAAGCCGAGACAAAATATTCTAAGTTTTCAACTATATTTACTATACAAAGAGAGTAATTATATGTTGAAGAAAGGTGTTTTTGTTCTGGAGATTTGGACTCATCAACTAATCGGGAGATGTTTAAGTGTACAATGTTGTTGGACTGTTGTATCTTGAAGGGGATAAGTCAAGAGTGATAATGCTGGATCGATGTAGATTATGTCATAGTGGACTTGAATCTCCTTAAATAGAGTAAGATATACGCCCTCAACCTAAAGATTATTATTTCATTTTTTTGTCGTTTTATTTTCAACGGTAATATTTTGTATTTGTGGTATATTACACCATCAATAACTAAATATAAAAATGTATCGTTCTTTTTTGGACTAATGAAATAAATTGAGTCATATAAATTGAGACTATAAGCTAGGTTAATGATATAAAATTTTAATAATTAACAAATAATTAACCAACATAAGAAGCATATGAAAAAAATTAGATATTAAACATGTCTCAAATTAAGATTGATAAAAATTTACGGCAAAAAATTATTAAAAAAAAGACCATTCATTGACATGTCTACTACAAGAGCTGCTCATAAGAGTACATAGCAAGACTACATAATTTTTTAAAGGTGATTTTCTATCATTTATATAATTAAAAATAGAGATTGACAATTTTTTCAGTAAATTAAATTGACAACATTTTATTGAAAAACATGGATCGCCATTCTTTTAGAAGACTACATCTCTTCTACATTGTGTATGCTTTTCCTTCTACTTCTTTAAATAACCCTGAAATCACACATCCAAAAATAAAGGGTAAATCAAGATAATAAAATTGATTAAAAAAAATAATACTAATAAATACAACATTAAATATAATGTAATTTTTCGACAAAGGGTACTGTTGCAAGTTAAATAATGTAATTTTTTTGACAAAAAGTACTGTTACAAGTTAAATAATGTAATTTTCCGACAAAGGATACTATCGCATGTTATAGAATGTAATTTTCCGACAAAGGATACTGTGGATACTAACATTAAAATTTAAAGGGTGAGAAATGCTTACTTAGAGCAATCAGGATTAGGTTCCAATGGCATAAATGGAGTGAAGTGACATAGATCAGGAAGTTGTTTAGCTTTATCATATTTCACTTTGGCACCTTGCATTGCAGCTTTGAAACACAAGCAAATGTCTTTGCGGTCTGTTTGTGAGGCAGCAGCTGTTTTAGCCAAATCTTGCAATCCAACACAACAAGCTTGACTAGGTTTTGCATCATCACCTAATATAAAACCTCCACAAGACATTACTTTTGGTATAACATCAGTACCACATTGAATATTTCCATATGTTTGGCCTAAAACCAAAGCTAGAGAAAACAAAGTTAAAAGAATTTTTGTCATTTTTTCTTTGACTACTTCTTGGTGATGTATTGGTGAGAGATGTATGAATGACTATTGTATAAAGCCTTTTTATAGTGGTTTAGAAGAGTTTTGTATTCAATGATTTTGGACTTTAACATTAATATGAAGTCTATTCTTCACTTGGTTTGTTTGACCAGAGAGTGTAACAATTAAAGTAATCTTGACTATTCATTTTATTTTCCTTGTATATTTATTAATTAATGATTTGAATTTTGATTGTATTTTATATTAGATGTTACTGTTTCAATTTGGACATATGTGGTTAGTCTTGATTATTAAAATTGATCCTAATGCATTATCTAAAGACTTCTAGTGAGTCATATTATTATGACTTTATTTGTTCATTTGTTTGTTTTATTTTGGATATTGTTGTTATATTATATATTACTTTACCTTCTTTCGACTAGTGTTAATATTACAAGTCTAAAATGGCCAATAAGAAAATTTCTTCTCGATTTTGGAGCCCTCCACATTGTAAAAGACGGAAATTTAGTTTATGTTTATGTAACGACCTGTTTAGTCGTTTTGAGCAGCAGATTTTATTTCTGGAAAAACAGGCAGAGGCAACGGACCCAACGACGATCCGTCATGGGCACGACGGACCGTCGCAGGGTCTCGTTTCAAAACACTTAGAAAATCTGAAATTGGGTACTGAAAATCGACTCTCTGAACTTCGTGACGGAATGGCAGGACGGACCGTCACAGGCGTGACGGACCGTCATAGATTGTTCAGTGGAAATTGACTCTCTGACCCTTGCGACGACCTGCAGGACGGACCGTCGCAGGCACGACGGCCCGTCACAGGTTGCGCAATCCCAGTCTGGATCGGATTTCTGGTTAAGTTTTAAGGGACGTTTTTGACTATTCTTGCCTTAATTATAAAGTTCGTGGGTTTATATTAATAACTCAAATTCTTGGGGGTTAAAAGAGGTAACCCTAAGTTAATTAGTGGGGTATTATTGCCATCTTTTATTCTTAATTATATACTAATTAGGGTAAAAGAAAGAGGGTTTGAATAAGAAAATAGAAAGTTGAGAGAGAGAGAGAATCGAACGAGAAGGGAGAAACAAAGCTTTGGGAAAATTCTTGCTTGATTTAATTCTTCGGTGGAGGTAGGTTATGGTTTTCATGCTTCATAAGTAAACTCTTAATAGTGAATGATATGTATTGGTAGTATTGTAAACCCTACTATATGCTTAATGGTATGTTTGTATGAATATGATTATGTGATTGTGATAAGATAAGCATGATGAAAATATTGAATCCCAAATCTTGAAAAGAAACTTTAATATACATTATTAATGATGATGCCTTGGTATAGAAGAAGGCTTGATGAATTAAAGTAATGGGATTGATGATGCCTTGGAATAGAGAAGGCTTTATGATTTACAGAATGATATTAGTGGATCGGAGTGTCACGTTCCGACACATAGTATTAGTGGATCGGAGTGTCACGTTCCGACACATAGTATTAGTGGATCGGAGTGTCACGTTCCGACACATAGTATTAGTGGATCGGAGTGTCACGTTCCGACACATAGAATTAGGGGATCGGAGTGTCACGTACCGACACATGTAGGGGATCGGAGTGTCACGTTCCGACACATGTAGGGGATCGGAGTGTCACGTTCCGACACATGTAGGGGATCAGAGTGTCACGTACCGACACATGTAGGGGATCGGAGTGTCACGTTCCGACACATGTAGGGGATCGGAGTGTCACGTTCCGACACATAGAATTAGGGGATCGGAGTGTCACGTACTGACACAAGAGGAAGAAAGATAATGAATCTTGAAAAATGATAATATACTCAACTTAATAAACTTAATTCCCAAATGAGTATGGCATTGAGGCTTGAGCCCTCATGGATGAACTTGATGGTACTTATTGATGATTATAGTACTTGTTGTTGCTACATGTTGAGTTTTATAGTTGATTTACGATAATATTTGATATATACTGTTCCCTATTTTGAGTTGGCCGATGATATCTACTCAGTACCCGTGTTTCGTACTGACCCCTACTTTTATGTTTTTCTTCTTGTTATTTGTGGAGTGCAGCAAACGTGCCGTCATCTTCGACTCAACAGTAACTCAAGCCAGTCTTCGTCACACCGGATCTTCAGGGTGAGCTAACGCTTCTATCTTGGACTGGATCTTCTCCTTCATGTCTTGATGCCTTGAACCTCCGGCATGGACTAGCTTCTTATGTATTTTTAGCTTTTAGAATACTCTTAGTTTAGTCATTTGATCGTAGATGTTCTTGTGATGATGACTTCCAGATTTTGGGGAATAATAGATGTTGAATTTTAGAAGTTAATGAATTGGTCTTTATTTAATGAGTTTAAGTCTTCCGCATTACTTTCTATTGATATTATATTGAAATGTTAAAGTTAGATTGGTTGGTTCGCTCACATAGGAGGGTAAGTGTGGGTGCCAGTCGCGGCCCGGATTTGGGTCGTGACAGTTTATATTTTTATTTGTCAAAATTGTCAATGAATAAAATTATCGTCGATTTTCAAGGCCTCCCATGTTAATAAAACGAGTTTTTATTTTTAAGTTAATATTCGAGTTATTCATTTTTATTTATATTTGTTTAGTACTAATTCTTTTACTAAATGTATTTATAGGTACATTGAGTTGCTTTTCATCCAAGCTATTCGAATTGTAATTTTATTTATTATTGTGTATATTATTGGCGATAGACAAACTTAGGTTGTTTCTTATTATTGTTTTATTTTATTAATTGTGTATATTGCATGCCTATTATATTTGTTTATAGTTTTCCTTCTCAATTTGCATAAAAATGAATTTAGTCGAGATCCACATTTGTGAATTTCGAAGGTTGTTTAATACCTTTCCGTTAAAATAACCTGAACTCTTACCTAGAATCTAATGGTTTTGTTGATTATTTTAATTGATTTCCTAATTTTTTCCCCTAAAATTAGGTGGCGACTTCTTTAAAATTCATTCATTCTTTAAATTTTTTAAAATTGAGTTCATTGATTATTTTTTGAGTCACCACGATGTTTCGCCCTATTTGAATAGAGTAGGGATGTAAACAGAATGACGACTCTGCTGGGGATATAGAGGTTTTAAGCAATATGAATTCATATTTTCAAATTGAGGAAACTTTTCTTTTATTGTGTTATACCTTGTATTTTCTTAATATTTCGTTGATTATTTGTATATTGTAGTTATTATTTATTCATTATTCATTTTATTGTATGCATATTGTCTTTGCACTCGTTACATAATTTTCGCCAAATGACAAATAGAATGCATTACGACAAAGACGGTTATGTGGTTTTTCACGACTCTCCTTCAGAAAACACCTTTAAATTTTTTTTGAAGTGGTAAACGAATAGTTGGCTTGTGGTCATCCAACGTCGTTTATTATACTTCATCCCGAAGTTTGTCCGACTCAGGTAACCAGGTCTTTTCTAAACCACTCTTAGTCAGCTAGTGTAGAGCGAAGCCAAAACCTTGAATTTAGCGCATTTGCTTAAGATAAGCCAACACTCAAGACAGATTTGTATAAGAATGCATTCATTATTTGTATCTTATGTGATATACCTATTTTATGTGAATATGTTGTATGATAGTCAATTATTTCAAAGTTTATTGTTAAGAGCTTTATAGACATAATATCAAGTTACTTTCAAGTCTCTTTTAGTTTTCGAGTTATTTTGAAAGATTCAAGGTTATTGCTCGTTTGAAGTGACAATGGATAGGGGACTCGCAAACTTTGAGTCATATACACTCAAAAAAATAAATCAGGGGAATTTTTAACTATGAGATCACACTAATTAATTTTTTGTCATTTCTCATACAACCCTTCTTTCACACATTTCTCATATTTTCAGTGTATCTCATTTATTTTGATTCTTAAATTAGACTTTCTTAGTGTTATTATTATTCTGATATATCATGACCACAATAGCCTTTGTTTTATACAATGTATCATGTTCACATTTAAGGTATTGATACATAACCCCAATATTGTTGAATCCTTTGAATAATGTTATCCTGCTCAATATAAATGTACTTGATACATAAAAACTACTTAATGTATCATTTATATATGTCATGTTCTATATCTTCAATTCTATTCAAATTTTAAAAGTTATATAGACAATACAAATCAATTGTGTGCTATGTATCTAGGATCTTCAATGTTTGTTCAGTCTTATCTAGCTTAGAAGGTTATATATATGTATTTATTATCCAATAATAATCTTGATACATAAATCATTATGTTCTATAACTAGAGCATTATGTATCAATTTCAATAGTAGGTATATGATACATAACATTGACAATGCTGACTACTTTATTATATATCAAATTATGATATTTATCTTTTTAACTCTTATATTTCAATTTTTTATGATACATTCCACAACGCATTGCTGTAATCTTCTACTACCTTCAGAAGAAGTCAAAACTTTAGATTGACAATCAATACAGACACATATTAATGGTTAATATGTATCACACGTAGTTGATATACATTAATGACCATGATACATTCGTACAAATTACTACTAAATATTCATTCTATAGTAACTAAAACTATATGTATCTTATACTTAATAACTAACCCACTCTAATGTATCGATCTAAAATCAAGTACATGATACATTAGAACTACCAATGAAACAAATATTCGCAAAAAATAGACTACACAATATTTCAAGATCACAAATCAAAAACCCAATTACACAATATCTCTCTATCCTTTTTGTGTGTTTTATCAATGTATAGTAAAATATATTGCAATTTTTGGCTCATGTTTCTTCACCTCCAAGTACATTCTAAAGAAGATATTCATGATGTATCTTTTCAAAAATTTTGACAATTTTAAAACAAAATTGAAAGGACGAATCTAGGAGCGGAAGTAGGGACTTGAACCCTCAACCCCAGCCTTGGCACGAAACTAAAAAATAGATGTGGATCTTAGCTCTTCTCATCATGAATCCGCAACAAGAAGACACAAATATTTTCACCAAGA